AAAGTCTTCCTTATTCATTGTCCAACTTTCACAAGCATATTGTTGTTGTTGTTAAGTGCCATAGAATCAGTTCCGACCCATAGTGTCCCTGTATACGGTTTCCGAGGAGCAGCTGGTGAGCTTGAACCCCCAACCTTGCAGTTCAAATGGCTTTGCAGTCTGGCACATTAACCTGCAGTGCCACACCAGGATTCTACATGCATATTACGCTGTTGAAAATAACATGGCTTGTGTTAGGTGCCCCTTAGTCCTCAAATTGACATATGTGCTCTGGAAAACTTTAAAGAACAGGTTTGCCTAATGCCACAGAGAGGCATTTTTTCTGCCAAGTGCCATTTGGATATTTATAACATCATTCATGGGTCATGCAAAATTATCAACTTAAAAATTAGTCTACTATATTTGGTCAAACATTTATTGGCTAAAACTGTTTCTATTTGGTGAGGCATGTGATGTTAGCTGGTATTGATGATGTTGCTACTCACAACTGCTTTTCAAGGTTTATATCTGTCAGTCTGGAATTCAGTCAACTCTTTGCGATGGTAAGTTTTGAAAAGAACTGCTCACAGCAGTAAATTGTTCCAAACACAGATGTATATTTCAATGCATGTCTCCTCAAAGTGGGAAATTCACCATCGCTTATGTAATATTTATAGAACTCAAGACTTGGAAGGCTATTGTATCCATCTTTCAGGTCATCATCACTTTGTACCTGAACGATTTTGTAGGTTATCGGGCACATCAGCTGGTTCCACATTGAATGGTGTAGTAAAGATGTTCAATTCCATTTATTTACTTTTCACATCCCAGAATCTTAATTAAATGACTCAATTAGTTTCACAAATTCATCAGTATATTCAAGTGCAGTAGAAAGCTTTTGTCTTTCCAGAGTGGAGAACTGCACCATGTTATTCCTTTCAAGTTGCACTTTCATTAAGTTTCAAATGATTTCACATTTGAAAGCAGAGAGCTGAGAAGCTGGTTGAGGCCCCTCAGTTTGACATTCAGCTCTGAGAGGTATAGTAATGTCCACCATGAATGCTTGATCATCCAACTACTTGCTATCATTGAGTTCCCTGACAGGTTTTCCCTTCATCACCATGAACTGCTTGGCTTCATCCTACAGTTCTTACAACCTGATGAGCATCTCCTGTGACTCCGCCGCAGCACTTCACAGTGAAAAACAAGATCACTGGACTCAGAGTCAAGATCATTTAGTAACTCCTTAAACTAGTGGCTGTTAAATCCTCTGTTTTTGACAAAATTTATACATGATGCTACTGTTTATATCACATTGTTGAATTACAACAACTGTTCACAGAGACTGTCTTGGTGTATGATGCAGTGGCATATAATTAAATCATATGGATCAAGACTGAAATGATTCAATTCTTTCTTGACAAATGCAATGAACCCTTTTTGTTAGTCATCACGGCTAGAGCTCCATCTGTAGTAAGACCATTTAACTTTTCAAATACTAGCTCAAGTTTTTCATTGATTAAACAAATCTCTCAAACAAGCCCTCACCTCTTGTGCCTTGAGTGGCTTCCAGTGACAGCAATTCCTCTGTGTGTCAAACTCTGCAGTTATCCCATGAATGAAAATGGCCAGTTGGGCAGTATTTATTGGTCCATTGTGTCACCACAAGCTAGAGGGAAAAATTGGAAATCTCCTGCATAATCCATCAATGCTTTGTCATTATCTTGTGCTAAGTCAGTAATACAGTCTGTGACGATTCTTCAAGATAAATTAACACTCTGAAATAATTTTACTTTATCAGGCACTAACAACTATACAGCAGCTATCGTGCAGTCTTTCACAAAATCTCTTTCTACATGAGGCCTCAGCTGCTTTGTGATTAGCTTGCTCACTACACAATTAATTTGAATAAAATTGCGTCTGTCACAAGGAGGCCTAGTGAAAGTGATTTGTTTTGATTCCAAACTCTGCTGAAGAGCACTGATTTTATCTAGTCACATTTGGCCTCCCCAATCATTGACTTTAGTGTGTTTTGAGCCATAATGTAACTCAAGGTTGGGTTTTTCCATTACTGTTAATCCATTGCCACAAATTAGTCATACAGATCTACCTTTGATTTCAACAAAAATAGCAATTTGTCCATTTCTCTTGGAAAGATCGATATTCTGTATCAACTTTTCTTTTTAGTCACCATTTTTGACTGTTAAAACTTAAGTTTTAATAACTATCCAGTGTATGTGTTGCCAGTGATGCAGTTATTTTGTTTTGATCTCTGTTTTAATCTTGCATCTTGGATTTTGAACATATCCAATGTTCATATCATTGACTCTTGAGATCATTTCTGTGTACTGTAATTTTCTTAATCTTCATGTAAGAGTTAGTTTTGGGGAAGATTGTTGATTGTGGTGGTTTAGATAAAGATTGTATTGGAGTTGTTGTCTGTGTCCTCAAAAAGTCTACAACATCGTCAGTCAATGGAGACAAGGTCATCAACATCTCTAGGAATCATCTTATTGCATCTTGTCTCATCATCACCAGATTGCCATACTTTTGTCACAGTGTGTTAATACTTTCACAATGTGTACACTCCCAGCCTGCCTGACACTGACTGTCCTCTGAGTCATTGCAATATAGGCAGATGTGCCATAGGCAGCTGAGGAGAAGCACACATGTTTGTCCGATCATGAACTCATATATGTGCTCTGTCTATCCCGTAATGGATGTTCCTTGCTTGTCCCTCAAAATTTACATTATGTTTATGATTCACTTAATATAAACTTATGTTGTTATGAAAAAAAGCCCCTAGATTTATGAATTTCATGTCTTGCATGTGGTTGCCTTGGCAGAGTCAGACCAAATGATTTTATGGGACTTGTACGGCCCATGGGCTGGACATTCCCCACCCCTGGCCTAATACAATAAATTGACTGCTGCTGTCTTGAATGTTGGTAGTAGAGTCAAGCAAAATGAAGTTTTTACAACTTTGATCTTTTCTCCATTTATCATGATATTATTTATTGGTCCAGCTGTGAGGATTTTTGTTTTCTTATGTGGTGCTGTGGGATAAAGCACTGGACCTAACTGTCAGTTTGAAACACAAGGTTGGTGGTTCAAACTCACTAGCCACTCCTTGGAATCCATATATAGGGTTTCTATGAGTCAGAACCAAATCAATAGCACTAAACAACAACAAAAAGATGTATGGAGTGAAATGGGTTAAGTTTTTGTGAGAGAATTTTATTATAGCCCTAGAACCCTTGAGTTTTGGTGTTGATTTCCCATTTTTCATTCTCACTGGTTTTATGTTTTCACTGGAATTCTTTCTTGATCATTTAAAGGAGAACAATGTCCAAGATATTTTTTCTCTTTTTGAATGTGGAAAGAATTTCAAGCTCAGCATAAATTGCCCCTACCAATTGAATCCAAAATGAAGATTAGATAGCTACTTTTACATGTGTAATTCTATTTTAAAGATGTTACGCTATTGGAGTCCTGGTATGGCGCTGTGGGCTAGTGCATTGGACTGCAAAGTCGGTTAGAACTTCAAGGTCTGTGGTTCAAATTTACCAGCCACTCCTTTGACACCCCATACAGGGTCACTATGAGTTGGAATCAACTCGACAGTATTTAACACCAATAACACGGTTGTAACAGAGCACATCTAGCATATTGTAAGAGGAAACGTAAACCTGTTTAGTCTTATCCTTCAAAGCATGGTTTCCCTGGTTTCCTTCCATGAGATTAACATGAGGTTCACTTAAAAAGAACTGCATAGAAAAGTTATGTTGATTGATAAATAATAAGGTCTTGGTAGCATAGTGGTTATGTGTCAGGCTGTTAATCTCAAGGTCAACAGTCAGCAGTTGGGAACTATCAGCCATTCCACAGGAGAAAGATGAGGCTTTCTGTTCCTGTAAAGATTTACAGCCTTGGAAACTCTTTGCAGGGTCGTTTTGAGTTCATACCGAGTCTACTGCACACCACCACCACCACCACCAGCAAGACCTTCTAAAGTAATAACACTCACAAAAGTATAATTTTGCTTCCAGATGGTAGTATTAATTGACTTTTTTTTAAGAACACATTTTTTTTTCACACGTGTGTACTTATTGGTTCAATTATTTTAACATGGAGAATACATGAAATGCTTTCATTTTAGCAAGACTTCATGGTTATAACAAGTTTGAAATCAAAACCTTCATAAATAATTTGAATTAGAAAGTGTACAAATGTGTTCTATTTTCAGTTTTTTATTCCTTAGTCCTGATATAGCAAAACACTCCCCTGAAGAAATTAGACTATTATTTTATAAATTGCCTCGGCCCCTCTAAACACAAGTAAATAATTTAACAAGCCTAGGTTTTTATCTTTAGATGTAAGCCAGTGGTGGGGAGGATACTGAATTCATATGGTCCGGGGATACATTTTTTGTTGTCCTGCTGTGGTACTGTAGGATAAGCACTGGACTGTTTACCATGGGTCAGCAGTTCAAACACACCAACTGCTCCTGAGAAAACCTATACAGATTGCTATGAGTCAGAATCCTCTTGATTATGTTGCAATTAAAAACATGTTCTTTCTCAGCCAGTATTTGCTTGCATTGACTGCTTTGTGGAAACTGTCACTATTGTCCCCTCCTTTCTGCCTGAAAGTGTCTTCTACCTTGACGGTTCTTGTTTCTGTTCTACCTACCTAACCTGTTTTCTTCCCTCCCCTTTAACTCTTAGCATCAGAAAGTGGATATTAGGTCAATATCCAGATCTCTAGTTCTGGCCTCTGTCTGGAACACTAAAGTCTAATTTCTAACTAGCTATTGTCATAAGACATTTTTCAGGACTGAAATCGCCATGTTTAAGACAAAATTATTCTTATATTTCTTACCTTCAGTATTCCCTGGAGTGTTCATAGTTGGAAGTGAACCACTTACTCTAACATTTATATAAAGAATGGCTGATATGTTACCTCACCCCTTCCTTTTTGTAACATAATGGCTGCACTAATAGAAAATTACTTCCCTCTAGGAGACAGGGAGAAGGTCTTAGGATCTCCTGGGGGAGTGTGAAGGAGCAATCCCTGTTGTCCCGCTGGAATCCGTGGTCCACTGAAGTTCCTTATGCTACTTTCGTTGAGCATCCTATGAAATACAGCAATGAGAAGTTTCTAGAAATCTGCAAGGTAAGAGGCCACTTGAACATATTTTAGATCAGAGCCACTATGGAGAAACTATGAATTTCTAATATATATTCTTGAATAAAAAGGTATGATAAGAAGAAATAGTCAAGCATTTATATAGGCAAAATTTTATTAGGCTTACAGAATATTTTTAAGTAAACAATGGAACTTTTCTATATGTGCAAATATCTAAAAATATTTATGGTAACTATACCATGCAGTTTTCCTTTGGTAACTTTTTTTTTTTTTTAGTACAATGTTAATGAATTGCCATAGTTGTTTTTGTCTGACTGCTCATTGTCTACAGGATACATAATTTTCTCTATATAATACAACTTTAATTATTTTATCCAGGGGGAAAATGTGGGATAATGCAAAGTATATTTAGTCAAATATGGTTCTGTGGTCAAGTTTGATTAAGTTGATCTTTTCTCTGGGCCTTAGTATTATAATCTCTAAAAGGGAGATAATGAAAATGCCTTTCTTCTCTACCTCCTCACTGAGCAATCTTAAGGTTAAAGGGAATACTAGTGGTTATGAATCGGGCTGCGAACCTTAAGGTCAGAGGTTCGAAACTACCAGCTGCACTGCGGGAGAAAGATGAGGCTTTCTACTCCCGTAAAGATTTACATCCTCAGAAACCCTATACAGGGTCACTATGGGTAGGAACCGACTCGATGGCACGTAACAACAACATGCATTTAAATGCTCCACAAACAGTAAAGAGATTAAGATTATTTCTAAGTCTTTAAATATCATCTCTCAAATAGATTTTAAGTCTATCAATGGCAGGAACAGTGCCTTTTACTAATCTTCTTTCATCTCCCCTAAGGAGAATTAAGGAGTTCTGGTAGTATAGTGGTTACGAATTGGGCTGCTAACGTCAAGGTCAGCAGTTCGAAACTACCAGCTGTTCTGCAGAAGAAAGTTGAGGTTTTCTGCTCCCGTAAAGATTTACATCCAAGAAGCTGGGTTCTGTGAAGAAAAATGTGGCATCAGGATTGGAGGAAGACTCATTAACAACCTGCAATATGCAGATGATACAACCTTGCTTGCTGAAAGTGAAGAGGACTTAAAACATTTACTGATGAAGATCAAAGAGCACAGCCTTCGGTATGGATTACATCTCAATGTAAAGAAAACAAAAATCCTCACTACTGGACCAATAAACAACATTCTTATCAATGGAGAAAAGATTGAAGTTGTCAAGGACTTCATTCTTCTTGGGTCAACTATCAACACTCATGGAAGCAGCAGTCAGGAGATCAAACAACGTGTTGCATTAAGCAATTCGGCTGCACAAGACCTTTTCAAAGTGTTGAAGAGCAAAGATGTCAGCTTGAGGACTAAGGTGCACCTGACCCACGCCATGGTATTTTCAATAACCTCATATGCATGTGAAAGCTGAACAGTGAATCAGGAAGACCATAGAAGAATTGATGCCTTTGAGTTATGGTGTTGGAGGAGAATATTGAAAGTGCCATGGGCTGCCAAAAGAACCAATAGATGTGTTTTGAAAGAAGTACAGCCAGAGTGCTCCGTAGAGGCCAAGATGTCCAAATTTCGACTCTTATATTTTAGATATATTGTCAGGAGGGAGCAGGCTCTGGAGAAGGATATCATGTTTGGTAAGGTGGAGTGTCAGGGGAAAAGAGGAAGACCCTCAATGAGATGGATTGGCCAAGTGGCAGCACTGATGGACTCAAGGGTGGCAACAGTAGTGAGGTTGGCCCAGGATCTGGCAGTGCTTTGTTCTGCTGTGCATAATGTTGCTATGATTCGGTACCAACTCAATGGCACCTAACAACAATAACAAAGATTTACAGCCTCGGAAACCCTGTGCAGGGTCACTATGACACGGTACTTAACAACAACAACAAGGAGACGTATGTAGTAGTCAGGAAATAAAATAATTTGAGCTGAAATGTAGTTAATGATCAAACTTTATATTTTTAATAAAACCAAGTATACATGTAGCGTGTACTTCCTGGCTTAGGAATTCTTACCTTCTATGTCCTCTTTATATTTACCTTTATGTTCTGTCATTCAGAACATCACACACCTTTATCTGCTTTAAAAGCCTACCTGGCAATCTTCATGTTGAAGTCCTTCTGTAGTTGGATGGTATACATTACATCTTTTTAAACATTTCTTATTCATGCATGTATTATGTAGTAAACAAGTGTTTAACATTGATAAGTTCCCAAGACTGAAAAAGATTTGATGTAAAATATATATGATTAAAGGTCTGGTGTAGTGCTGTAGGATTAGCACTGGACTGTGAACCACTAGGTTGATGGTTCAAACCCACCAGCCTCTCTTTGGAAATCTTTTACAGGGTCACTATGAGTCGGAATTGACTCAATGGCACGTAACAACAACAACAACAACAAAGGTCAAAAGAGGCCAAAGGTCAAAGGTTCATGATTTGAACTCCATTCTTCTTGTTAAGTGCCAGTCAGTTCCAATTCATAGAGACCCTGTTTAGGGTTTCTGAGGAGTGACTGGTAAGTCTGAACCACTGATCTTACAGTTAGTTGTCCAGTGCTTATCTTACAGTGCCATGCCAGTACTCTATTCAACTCCCAGGAAAAGCCAAGTATTCTTCAATCTGTATAAAAATGTCCTCAGGGGTTTATGGTCTCAAGATTTACCTTGGCTCCAGTCTATTGCAGGCATTAAATTAACTCAGTGATGGGTTGTATTGCTACACCCTATATAATACTCTATTTCCTAATACCTCCAACCAAGCATCAACATCAGTCCCTACCCTCACTTTTAGCCATCCAAAGTCAACAAAATAAAATGAAAACCACTAAGAACAACATAACATTTCTACAAAGAGATAAATGTGAGAGTAGGGAGACAGAGTGGGAGTTTACAATATTATCATGCCCACAAGTTAAAATGGAATATCAGATCTCCTTATTTTTAAAAGTTCGTATTAATAGTACTCTGACACATTGCTCCTTGATCCTCTTTTTCTTTCCATTCTGCCTTGCCCTTTTCCATCCCCAGACTCTTATTCTTTTCTTTATTATTGCTATTAGCAATACAGAGAAGCTTACCTGTTTTAATTTTCTTAGTACCTATTAATCTCTCAAAAGACATTTCTCACCTTAAAAGAAAATCTGGTTCTAGCCATTAAAATAATAAATCTTTTTATTTAATAAGTAATCATTGTATTTTACGATAAATAAAATTAATACCAACTGCCTTGGTTATTGGAGTTCTGGCATGGCCCTGTAGGATAAAATCTGGACTGTTGACCACAAAACCAGCAGCTCAAATCCACCAGCCACTCCTTGGAAATCCTTTACAGGGCCACTATGAATTAAAATTGATTTGACAGCACTTAACAACAACAATAACAACCTTGGTTATTACAACCATAATTTCTCTTGTTCCTCAAACCTGGCATTTTAAGAATTTATTAACTGGGTGCCTTTATTGGAAGAATTTCACGGTGAGCGATTATAAAAGCAAATTCAATGAACTTCTGAGAAATGCCTCTGCCTCATCATAATATCTAGAGAAAAAGTAGAACAACTATTCCTCAAATATCCATCAATATAGTTGCAAGAATGACACATCAATTTTGCCCTGGACTTTCTGATGGCCAAGGCTAAAAGGAAAGTGTTATAGTCATATAATTTTTATTAGATGGAAGTAAGAACAGCAGTTGTGTGTGCATTTGTGTGTGTACATGCACTCAGTAAATGGTCCGTTTGTCAGTTGGTTGGTCTTTAGTTAATGAAACTACTTTGTGGGTCTGGTAGGTGTATTTCCTGTAAAGCTTTTCTTCTGGCCCAGCTCTCTAGAAAAACAAGTCTTCTACATCTGTGGTGTAAGATGATGAGTACTTTGATCTAGTTATTTGAGTCTTAGTTTTTCTTTTGTAGTTGGTTTTTATGTTCTAATATTATTTGTGTTTGGGAAATTTTCCAAGATGGGCTTTGATTAAGACTCAATGATATTAATGTAAAAGAATAAATATGAAAGATAATTCTGGGATATAGAATCCCTTTTATGTGACTGTTTTGGCACAACATAAGATTTTAAATGGTAATATAAAGTAGCTTTCCATCTCCATGATGAATGGAATAAGAAAAAGTAATGGAATATGGGGGAAATAACACAACTAAACCAAAACCTGAATTACTGAATTCAATTTAACAAAACTATTGTAGCTCAGGGAAGAGAACAATGCCGAGCTGAATTATACACAATCAAAAATTTCAAATTATTTTCAAACTAATGGAATAATTTATTTAAATGTTTTTCTTTCTAATTGAAACAGAATTTTATTCAAAGTCTTTTGTTCTACAATGTCAGGAATCTACTGATTAATCTTCTGATGTCTAAAAAGTGCAAGTATTTGGATATAAACATAAATGAGACAAGATTCTTATATTTCTACAAGGAATTATTTAATAGAGAAAGCAAATAAAAATGCAAATATTTAGAAATTGGGTGGAAGAATGGTGAAATCATTGATGCCTTAAGACAAAGTTATGGGTATAATGCCCCAAATATTTAATAAATGCATAATTCATTTTAAGAAGGGACTTGATGATGTTGAAGATGAAGGTCACATTTTTAGGCTGTCTGCATAAAATTGTGAGGAAAAATTAATTTTGTTTGTGCCCTAATTGAAGTAGACTGACAATTGACAGCATAAACAATAGACAATGCCATCAGTATCTCAATTGGTTCAACTTTTACAATTCTGACTGAAAAACTAAAGTTGAGCATACTTTATGCTCTAAGGATGCCCAAACTTTTGTGGCCAAATTAGATGCAGACAAGAATGGAGATTTCAATGGAAATTTTAAGTAAGTAAGATCAAAATTCTGAAGTACTTCTTTGAAGAATTGTACTAGGTGATAAAACATGACTTTACCAGTATGATCCTAAAGACTAAGCACAAAGCAATGGCTACTATGAAATAGAAATGGTCCAGCCACAGTAAAAGCAGACTAGTCAAGAGCAAAGGTCATGGT